ACATAAGCATGTTGACATGCAACATGCCGGTGCTATGGGCACACTTAGGTATATGGCACCCGAAGTAAAACTATCGACAAAATACACGTCGATGGCAGACATTTATAGCCTGGCTGTTGTTGGATATGAACTATTTAATTCGGATGCTTTTAGGTATTTTACAAAATTTTGAAATTTTTTATGACCTTATAAAATAATTATTTTATTTATTTTATTTAATATACTTTATTTAATTACAATTTTTATATTCTAGAGATAGCAGAAAGGACATATATTTAACTAACATGGATATTTACACTAGGATTATTAATGTGGAACAGTTATTAGATAGTATGCTGGCGACAATACCCTTTGGACGACCAGGGTGCTTACAAATACTACAATCTTTTGACAATTGTCGTATACCATTCGATGAGATGCTAAATAACCCTGATATACAAACTATGTTAGGGAATAATGAAATGGAAGACACTGTTGAAAGTGATCATGATGATGATATTGTGGATGGTACCTTTAGTGAGCCTGGTATTGGTTCCGAAAGTAATGATAGCAGTGTAGGTGATTGGAAATTTTCCATTGTAGTACAATATTATATTGAAAAACTTATTGAACATAGAAATATGAAAGGATTAATTTTAAAATAATAAATATTTGAAGTGATGTTTAAATATATTTTTCCTTTGTTCATAAACAATCATATAAATTTATAATAATATTATATAAAAATTCTTTAAAACTGGTAAAAGCAATATAATTACATTGTGTTAAGCTTTTATTATTTACAAAATTATTTATTGATCAGCTACTATGAATTCTTATATATCCATTTACTATCCGTTAAATATTATAATAATAAATAAATTATATTGTAAAAATTGATTTTACATGTCTTACTAAGAAAGTTATTAAAATGTAACTTGTTGAGCTACATTAATGTTTCGAAAAGGTGTTGACAGTGTATTATATGCATGCATAGCATTACTTACAAAGGAATAGATCCTTTGTTAGTAAATAGTGTGGTACTCAAATGATAATCCGGTGTTCCTTTAATTGTTTGCCAACTGATTGTGTAAATGGTGTAGTTAAACTTGATACATTTTGCATTAGTTTATTTTTGACAACTAGTTTTGCATATGGATTTTTGTCCATGCAATACGTAAATGTAGTTTGTCCTAGTTCGTTATTGGCATTATTTCCTGATTACAAATTCTACAATCTTTTGAAAATTGTCGTATACCATTTGCTGATATTCTAAATAACCCAGATATACAAACTATGTTAGGAAGTAATGAAATGGATGACACTGTCGAAAGTGATCATGATGATTCCTTTAGTAAGCCTGGGAGTAATTCCGAAAATAATGATACCAGTGTAAGTGATTGGAAATTTTCAATTGTGGTACAATATTAAGGAAAACTTATTGAACACAGAAATGTAATAGGCTGAATATAAAAATAATAAATATTTTAAATATGAATGATTTTATAATAAAGAGGCATCGAGTCTCTATTTTAAGTGTAATGTATGATAAACTTATATAGTTAAACTTTTATCGTACTTCATATTTTAATGTGAGCAAAATTTATTTATAATATTTAAAATATAATTATTTTCTAAATTAAGTTAAAACCAAAAGTAATTTTTAAACCATTTGGTAATATAAAGTTCAAGGTTACTTAATTACCAAAATATAATATAAATGACAAAATATTCTGATTTCACCCTCCCTCTTCACCGTTATATTTTAAATAGTTGTGTACCGTGCCCAAATAATATGACCTATGCTTATCATGTCGTGTAAGGTGGTCAATAAATTAGGCCAGCGTACTAAGTGCACAGTGGCCCAAAAATAGGATAACATTAACTGTATAATTTGGCGCATGACAAATAGGAAATCAACAATTTAATCCTTTTATAAATGAGTGAAATAATGATTTCTTGTTTAGTTTAATTTAAATTAAAAATTTAAGACATTGTTGATTATGATTCTGATTAATTACTTATACTCTTAAATAACTTCGCGAGGCATTCCTGAAATTATTTGTTTGTAGAGTTTTTCATAAATTTACAATTTATGTTTAAAGTTGTTTTTTCCTAAAAATAGGCCGGACTAAGGGTTAATTAAATATATCATAATATTAAAAGTAATCTTATAATATAACATCCTTAAATTAAATTTCTTTGTATAAAAGGATTGTTAAAAATTGTTAAAATATACTATCTATTAACAATACATATATATTTTGAACGAGATATATATATATATGTATTTACAAATAAAGTGAATTTTATTTATTAAACAAATATCTGAAATAACAATTATTATCAATTTCAATATATTAATCTATTAAGTGTTTTGTTGACTATAATGAAATGCTCAAGTTTCAAGTAGCAATTAAATATAAAAATACTACCAATATACTATTGAATAATTTTACTAATTTAGAAATTATTATTAATAAAACATTAATTATGAATAAATTTAATTTTCAAAACAAAATTATTAATAACTAATAACTTAATTAATATATTTTTGGGTAATTGGTAATTATATAAAATTTATAATGAATATTTATTAAATATCATTAGAAAATATTAAAATATTAGAAATAAATGTTGTTATCAGTTATTTAACTGATATGACATTTTATTGACATAATAACAATTTAAGTTGCTTAATAATTATTTTTATAAATTTATATTCATTCAAATTACTATATAATGTGAGCATATTCTGTTATTTATATTTGTAAGTAAGTTAATAAAGGTACAATATATTGACATATTTACAATTAATACAAACTTCGTAGTTCATTTTGAACATTATGAATAAACCAGGTATGTAAATATTACTTTTAATTTTGTTTAATAACCAAGTAACTATTTACCTGATAATGTTATAAGGTTAATTATTGCGTTTAAATACAAAATTGTCATTGCATNTTCATTTTGAACATTATGAATAAACCAGGTATGTAAATATTACTTTTAATTTTGTTTAATAACCAAGTAACTATTTACCTGATAATGTTATAAGGTTAATTATTGCGTTTAAATACAAAATTGTCATTGCATATATTAAAATAATTGACATTAAACAATTTCTAGTGCATTAATATTATTATAATCATTTAGTGTAAATAATAAAGTGTTAGGATGACCAGCAGGGTTGCTAACTAATTTCATGTCAAGGGTGGAGAACCTGGTAAACAGGCTAATGAAATGATAACACGTTTAAATTTTCAAATTTTAACGCTAATTGTTAAGCCATAATTTTAACCTAACTATAATTGTTACTCAAATCACCATTTGTTGCCTTAATAACAATTGTTTCGTAAAATGTATAAAGAATTTCATTGTTTTTACAGATATCTCTTAGAGGACAATGTTTTTTATATCCCATAGTAGAACTATTCTGCGAAAAGGAGTATAGTTGGAAACCTTAGTTACCATATGTTACGTTTTATCATCTGGGCATTTTATTTTTTAATTATTGTTAAACTTTGACTAATAACAGTTATTAAAATTGTTGGACAAAAACTTTATTCTAAACTTATTAGTTAAAACTAGTTATAATTTAAATTATTGTGTAATAATAGTAAATGGCAAGTTGATTTTTTCTAATTCTTTGACAGTTTTTATCCTGGTTATTGCAATTTATATTGCTAACGTGTTAAACGAAAAGGTTTGCCCGGCACCTGAGAAACTTGCACCATGCACGTGTATGGACTCCGTGGATGTCGAGTGCACCGAAAATATCAATTTTAATTTAAGCAAGATATTTGATGACCTAAAAGGCACTCATTACGATTTGAGGAGGTTTTATATTAACGGAAATGTATACGTAGAGGAGATATCAGCTAGCGTGTTTCATAGGGTCATATTTTTAGACGTGTCCATTGTGAATATGCCAAAATTAACCAAGATACACAAAGATGCGTTTAATGTTAGTTATCCGGATGTGAATCCCATTATTGAGTTTAAATTGGTGGATGTACCTTTAAAAAATAACGAGGGTCCCGATTACGATTTGTTTAAGCTCATTCGGAATATGACTAGTCTGCGAACCCTACAAATATCAAATACAAAGATCGAGGAAATACCACATCGAGCGTTTGAGAGTCTAACAAAATTGACCATGATAGATTTGAGTTCGACAAATGGGCAAGGTAGTATAGAGTCAATTGCCGATGAAGCATTTTGGGACTTGCCAGCGTTAACATTAATAAACTTGCACAATAACAATATTAAGCAACTAGGCGCACGTTCGTTCACAATATTAGATGGCGACTTGTCCAAGGTTATTCACGTGGAGCTTGGTGGCAACCCAATTGATCCCACGCAAATTCAACCTATTGTATCGGAATTCCCTAGTAAACCCGTGTACCTTGGCCTAACACATTTACGGGAATCAAATATCACCTTTCTGAATGATACCATTTTTAAGCCGTTTTTAATAAAATCTCAGCAAAACGTTCTACGTGTGAATATAGACTGTCAGGATTGCCGTAATTTTTGGCTATTGAAATCAGATAAATCGTACCCGGGTATTGATGATCGTTTATATACGATTACCTGTTCTTCTGGCACAGTCATTGATAGTACAGATAATTTTAAGAAATGTACTTGATTCTAGATTAGTGCTAATGTCATAGACGTAAAAACACATATGTACTCCAAAAAATACATTGCTGTTTAAAAAACAATAATAATTGCAACATTATTTGTTATTCATATTTTGAACGTCTATTGTTAACATTATAATCAAGGAATTTTGAAAAATAATTTATTGAGAATAAAAAGAATTACAATTTTATAGCTAACGGTGCGAATACGGCTCCAATACCTGGTCTGTTAATATTGATGGACACACCGGTCACTGAGTCTACCTTATCGGAAAAAGGTACATGTTTAGGGGCTTCCCTTAACCATAGGGCTATCCTATCAAAAATGGATTGCCTAAGCAGGGTATTAGTAGATGATGCTGCTGTAAAATGGTTCTAGTCAAACTTAGTTATAGTATCACCACTTCGTAAGGGTAGTCCGTATTTATTGAGCACCTGTAGGTACCATTCATCCTGTTGCTTATATATCTATTGGAAAACAAAATATTATTAAGAAAGTTTAAGGGCCATTCATAAAATATCTAGGTCAATTAGTTTCATGCGTTACAAATAGTTTCATTTTCTAATGCTTTTGACATTACTAATTGTTCATGCTACTAACATTTGGGACTCACTATTCAAGATAAAATAATTTAGTTAAACTATCTTAAATAATTTCCATGTTCGTTCATTTTATATTATTACCTTGCTTACTAATATTGTCTATTGGATAACCTTTTCAATTACCACTTATTTAATCTATACAAACCGATTCCCGAATTAATTTTGTCCCTAAAAGTACGTCGGCGTACAGGTTATAGACCATAAACCACGTGTCGGGTGAGTTATAGCTGAGTTTCAGGTGTTTCTGAGAGGGGTCTTCAGCCATACGAATCCATTCGGTAACGTATTTTTCGGCGATTTGTCTGTATTTCTGTCGGTCCTCACGATTGTCCACCGCATCCGATAACTGAGCCATAGCTCCGATGCCTATAATAGCTTTCGCCGAAAGGTTCGTCGAGTTCACGATTTTGCCCAAAAAGTCATCAGTGGTTAGGGCGGTGCCTAAAAAAGTTAAACTATTTTTAAAATATTTTTAATAAATGAGTTTATAATATACAAAAAGATCAATCGATGAATAAAAATGAATGACTATTGATAAATAATTTTACATTGAAAGCAGAGTTTACTCATTCAAACTAATAAAAGTTTTCAAACTTAGCTTACATTCATAGTTTTTCATTTTTATTCATCAATTGATCTTTTTGTATATTATAAACTCAAATATTTCCCATATATTGCTATACCTGTGATCAACCCGTGATCCACCAAATACTGTGTCCATTGTTTAGATATATTGTAGTGCTTTTCGGCAAACTCTGTATCGTTAGTGGCCTTAACGTAGGCCGACATCATGATCACCATATTGGCGCTCTCCTCCACCTCCATGTCCTCTTGTTTGCCATCCCTGTGCCCAATACACCGGGGATAGTGAGTGCCCAAGTCGTGTATGCGGTACTTGTACGGGAAGTACCCCCGTTCCTGGTTGTCGAGCAGGGGGTCCAACAGGTATCGCAAAAGTACGGGATTCAGGTATAACTGGACGGGAAAGTGGGGGTAAATCACGTCCACTGTCTGACAGTTACCATCGGATGAGATCTCTTTCAACATTAGCCACGGCTTGTCACGAGTGCCCACCAGCTCTATACCCCCGTACGCCTGACAATATAAAATGAACATGACTATTTTATCATAGCATGTGCCGTAATAAAGTGGTTAAAATTTTATTAACAAGATGCTAAATACTAATATATTTAGCACCTTGTTAACAAAATGATAGCCACTAGTATATGGTTTCGCGTACCTGTCTGAGAGCTGCCGACACTATTTTAACATAACTGTCCCCTCCCACCTTATGAGCGTCGGCTATAACCCGGGTATCTAATGCGTTAGCCCGCTTGAGGGCAGCCTCCCTGTCCTCGTATATGAATTGTATCATCTGTTTGTCATTTCCGTCGAAATATGACTCCCAGAGTTGGTTCAATTGGGAGTCCGTGTATTCAATGGCCGGTCGTCTAACGTGTGCCACACCGTAGTAGCGAGAAATAGGTGTACCCTTCATGAGGGGACTGGCAGTTTCGGTATGCGCGAACCCAATGCCCGGCCAGTTATCGTTGATTTTGCGGTAATTCCTGTCGACGGTGTTGTCGAGTCGACCCGTTTTGGCAAACTTTGAGCGCATCGACGCGCAAGAGTTGGCCTAAAAAGCAAACGTTTTATTAATTATCTGTATATCTGTTGCCAGAATACGAGGACTACATATAAACTCTGCTTAAAACCAACACTATGAACCTTGTTTAATTTGTTTACAAAATATCTGAGTTGTAAATTATTACGTGTAAACTTGTACATGTATAATCACAATTAATACTAACTATATCTAGTTTGCTCAGCTATTAACCAATTACTAATAGGTGGTAGGTTAATTAACACTAATCATACGTAACACTTACTTCGTAAGTCACACCGGTAGCTTGAGTAAAAAACTTTACGGTCCCCCATTGGGCTGACTCTGATTAAAGTAAATATATTTAAAAATATTAAATTATTATTATTCAAAAACACTTAACATTCAGACCTTTATTTTCCTGAAACACCTGTTGATCCCTGAGCCGCATATCGCCGTTAATTATCGACACACCACCAGTCACTTCATGTATGTCCCACTCGACCACTTCGCTACTGTTACCTGAAGTCCATTCCCCAGTCATATCCAGATATACCTGAACCTCGTGGGAGGTGTCCGTCAGTGACCACACCCTCAGCGCTATATACAAGGCCGGAAGGGACAGTCGTTTCAAGTCTGTCGGGTCTATAGGCGTGAAAAATTTGACTTCCAGTGCGATGGGGCCGGCATTGAACATGAATACCGACTGAGTAGGTGTTACCCTAAGGGACACCTGTTTGGCCTGTGGTGTAGTGCCGTTGATATCACGACTAGGGCTACCCATGAACTCGTATGCCTGTCCACTGACGCGCACCAAACCGGACATACCTTTGATCTCGGAGTTCCAGAATCGGGGCCAATCACTCGGTAGTTGGCGATTAGTCATCCATGTGTTTAGGTAGGGGCTCTTGACAACTAGGGGAACGGCAGGTAATATGTCTGTCGATGTGGTATACAATAAATTATTGCAGTTTTTGAATGATATGAATATAATGTGTTTTTTATATACCGTTTTCAGCCGCACTAACACTCTGTGACAAATTAATTACGTAAATAATTAAAGTTTACATGGATAATTTTAAATGCATGTTAATAGGTAGTTTAGATTGTAATACACGTAGATATTTATTTGGAAAATATTATTTACATAATAAGTGTTTTTTAATTATACTAGAATAGGTGTTATATGAAGTATGTTTAATTGTGTATTTCTATTATGATAAGCGTGTGAATTGTAGCCAGGTGCTGTGGAGTTTTTTACTTTCTAAATCACAATTATTATTTACAATTACTTTGAAGGTTTGTGCGTCAAATTGAACCCGGATTTATTAAATTGTTGTAAGGTATAATAAAATTTATAAAATTATAAAAAATTAATAATTCTAATTAAATTTTAAATTACCTTTCATTTTTAAATCCCACTTACTAGTATATACAATATTTTTAATTTTGTTATGCGGAGTATAAATTATTAAATAATATGATTATGTTTATAGGAATTTAAATGATATTAACAGTAATTGATAAAATTAATTAACCCAGCACATTGCTCACTGGCACAAATACCACCAGTCTGGTTATTATCAATATCATCCTAGAATTCTATTATATTAATCATCCTGGTCAATACTGCCGATACTATTTATATACAAAATGTTAATACATTATATCGCGGTTAATATAAATCATTTATATATACAGTAAGCGCCATATTTTCAGTTAGGATTTTGTACTTAGAAGGAATCTCTCGATACGGAAAGTTGGCCATGCTAGTTTAATTTGTATGAACATAAATTAAATCATATACTTGATAAATATGCATGGTCAAAAAGTGCGAATTCGGGCGATAAAATGGTCATTTTGCGGTCTAGGAGTTGGCTGACATGATCATTTGTACCTGAATACTATATATACTGTATATATGACTGCATTATACGCATACATTTTCCGGATAAGTTTGCGACACATAAAGTGCTTACTATACGGTTGAGTGCCGTCTAAACTTTTAATACATACCGTCTATACAAATAATGTTAATTTATATAAAGTTGGTCCAAATTTTGGGCCTTCATATAAAAGGTTACCAAAACTATATAGATGAACGCAATTAAATGTAACGCCATTTATTCTAATCTACACTAACTAGTCTACTATAATTAACAACCACAAGGTCATCTGACTCAGCATTTTGAAATGAGAAGATAAAATAAAAATTCCACGAACTTTCTGTTTCACCTAATATATAAAACAAATTATATTAATATTATTCAAAAACTGCAATAATTTATTGTATACCTCATCGACAGACATATTACCTGCCGTTCCCTTAGTAGTCAAGAGCCCCTACCTAAATACATGGATGACTAGTCGCCAACTACCGGGTGATTGGCCCCGATTCTGAGACTCAGAGATCAAGGGTATGTCCGGTTTGGTGCGCGTCAGTGGACAGGCATACGAGTTCATGGGTAGCCCTAGTCGTGACATCAACGGCACTACACCACAGGCCAAACAGGTGTCCCTTCGGGTCACACCTACTCAGTCGATATTCACGTTCAATGCCGGCCCCATCGCACTGGAAGTCA